ATCACCGATGGGAAGGAAGACTGTTTTGATTACAAACAATCTTCCTCCCTGTCAGATCGGGCACACTGCACAGCACAGCCATCCCAATTAGTGTGCTTACAGTGAAGCGCACCCCCCCCCAGTTAACCCTTTGATCTCCCCTCAAATTAACCCCTTCCTGTCCAGTGTCATTAGTAGTGTGTCAGTGCTGTTGTTTTCACACTCATCACTGTATTGGTGTCACTGGGGATGTCAGTGACATCTAGTTCTCTCCAATACCCCCCCAGTAATGCCTGCCGCAGTACCGCTAAAAGTCGCTGATCTCCACCATTAATAGTAGGTAAAAGAAAAAAAAAAATCCCAGTATATATACCTCCATTTGTAAATGCTATAACTTTCACGTAAACCAATTAATTTACACATATTGGGATTTTTTTTTTTATTTTTTTTTTTAGCAAAGACATGTGGCAGAATAAATTTTGGCCTAAATTTATGATGAAATTTGATTTAATTTTTTTTTATTGGACATGTTTAATAGCAAAAAGTCCAAAATATTGTTTTCTCAAAATTGTCAGCCTTTTTTTTTTTTTTTTTTGCTTATAGCAAAAAAAAACGCACAGGAGATCAAATACCATCGAAAGAATGCTCAATTCGTGGGGGAAAAAAAGGCCGTAAATTTCATCTGGGTGCGGCGTTGCATGACCGCGCAATTGTCAGTTACAATAACGCAACGCCGTAAAGCAAAAAATGGCCAGGTCAGGGGGCGGGGGGGGGGGGGGGGGGGGGGGGGGTGTAAATCCTCTGGAGGGCAAGTGGTTAAACAATAGCTACATATACTTACTGCACTAAGATCTTTTTGCGCTGGCTTTCTCTATGTATGTTTGTCTACTTGATCCTGGTCATCCTCCAGCACTGGACCCTTGCACCTTACAGGAGATACTGGTTTCATAGGTTTACCCATGACCAAATACTAGCAAATTAGCAGGGCTTCCATACAGTACATTTTTGGCAATGTATTTCAATTTTTTTCAATTTCTTTATTACTACAGCAAGCCTTATTGACTATAGGATTAGTGCTATTAACTGGAACTAGGGTTGAGCGCGTGTTATATCTTTTCCTTTTCACTACAAGTAAAAGGCCTACACCTATAGAAAAGGGCATTATTCAACTTTCAGAGCAGCGCAGTCTGTTTTTAATCTAGAGATGTCTGATCTGTAGAGGCATTTTATTTTTGGTATAGGTGAACTCTTTAAAGACTTACCTCCCAGGAGGTTATCTTGACATTCATACCGCTGTTTTTGTTTTTTTTTTTTAAATTCCGCTGTTACCACATTTTATTCTTCTCCTCAATGGCCAGCTTTGACTTCCTAATTTAGATGTTGTCCACATGTGACATAAGCAGGCTGACCTTGTGGTCTCTGCATCACTAAGTAAATCAAACCACAGCAAACTTGTTTTGTATACTTTTACCTACAGATAAGCCAATAATAAAGCTTACCTGTAGTTAACATTAACATTTCCTAAACATGCACCGTTTAGGAGATATTTGCTCTGACAGCCAGGGCGTGTGCGCTGTGAAGGAATGACATACCCGTGCCATTCCTTCAGAGCATTGTGCTGTGGATCAGATGCGTGTGGGAGTGGTGTCATTGCGGCTTGGCCAGTCAGACGGTTGGAGGTTGCGAACCCGGAAGGAAGACTGGGTGAAGATGGAAGCCTCTGCAGCAGTGATAGCACACTCCTGGAGAGCTTTGTTTGAAGGTAAATCCTTCACAATCTGCTCGTATGCAATGCATACAAGCACATTATGACATTACCTTGCAGGGGAGTTTTTTTAAAATGTATTTATTTTTTAGGTGTGGTTTACTACCGCTTTAAAAAAGGACAGGGATAGTATTTCAAAAGACGAAATCACCAACTGCTGCTACATTTTATGCACCTTAAAGTGGTTGTAAAGGCTCAAGGTTTTTTGCCTTAATACCTTTTTATGCATGAAGGTAAAAAACCTTCTGTGTGCTGAAAAACCTTTGCACAGAGCAAGTATAACATGTTTGTTATTTTTAAATAATTGACTTTACAATCACTTTAAAAACCAACAATAAAGAGGATACTGGCCAATACAGCCAAATTTATCAAAGGAAAAAGTCATATATAAAACAATATTTTATATACAGAGGATTTGATGTTGTGCTTTAACCTAGCATATTTGCATCCCTAAATGTAAACCAGTGGAGGGAGGGAGGCATAAACCTTATCTGTAGAACATATTCCATTAACATTCACACTTCAACACAGCAAGCTGATCAGATCTTCGGATCAGATCTTCGGGGGGGGGGGGTTGTTTCTGCTAAATACCATGCATGGGCAGTACACAGCTAGAAGATTGACAGTGCATGAATAAAATTTCATCTGTGTCTGCTTTACTGTGGGGTGCATGCCAACTTAAAAATACAGTTTAACATCATATCGGTGTCGATAACAGATTCAAAATCCTTCCACTGACAGCATCTTACAAGCAATATGTGTGGATGGACTTCAGTTCTCCTTTAATGAAGATGTGGTAAAGATTCCCCAAATGGCTACAAAAAGACTGTGGACAAGCAGTTTTACAGAAGGTATAACAGAAGACAGAAGTCAGAATAGTCCCCCTGTTCTAGCTCCATTCACTTCCCTCTGTCTCATCACTGAAGACATCAACCCAAAAGCCTTCATCTGAGATGGTAAGGGAGGATGCTGAAGTGCTCTAGAGGGGGCATATCACATAAACAGAAAATTAGTGATAAATACATGAGAGAGAATGTGTAAGTGCCATTACCATTAAAGAGTAAAGCCTATTACTAATAACTAGGGAACAATGGTAGTGTTTAAAGAAAGAAAATATTTATAACCTTTAAAGAAAAATTATCAGATTAAAAGCCAGTGTAGACTGCTGCTTAAAGTGGTTGAAAAGGTTCAAGGTTTTTTTACCTTCAATGCATTCTATGCATGAAGGCAAAAGAACTTCTGTGTGCAGCAGCTCCCCCAGCCCCCTCAATACTTACCTGGGCCTCATCGCGATCCAGTGATGTGAACGACAGCCTTGGCTGTTCCGGGTCTCTTCCTCCTCATTGGCTGAGACAACAAGCTGCCATCAATCACAGCCAGTTAATTAATGAAGAGGGGTGGGGGGCCCAAGCTGCGACTGTGTGTGAAGGGACACATGGAGCAGTGGCTGCCCCCTTAGCAAGCTGATTTCTGTGGGGGTGCCCGACAGGAGAAAGGGGCCAGGAGAGCCTGCGGGGGACCCGAGAAGAGGAGGATCCAGGCTGCTCTGAGCAAAACCACTGCACACAGCAGGCAAGTTTGTTATTTAAAAAAAAAAATTAACCTTTAGAATCACTGTAAGAGCCATAAGGGCCTCATCTGCATGAGGATGTTCTTATGTAATTATTGTTCTACACCTGCCCTGCCCTAAAGGTTTGGTCAAGGTTATAAGTAGCCACCAGTACAGGGGGTATACAGTGATTAAGAAGAGGCCTGCAGAATGTCTAATAACCGCAACTCCTGCAATGACTGCCTTGGCTACGGGTTTCAGGCCATGGTGTAAATGTTCCACAGAAACTGCAGAGCGACAATAAATTTAAAGGTCCCCTCTTTAAAAAAAAAAAAAAAGGCAGAAAAAAATACCACACCCATGATTAGGGGATCACAGGTGTAATGTCAGGCTCCTGGAGGCACTCCCTCCAGATCAAGAATCAGAATGGCTGTGCTGAGGTGGAGCCCAGCATGGCCATGCTGATTTTAAAGTGTTACTAATCCCTGGGCCCTGCATTCACTAAATCTGGTCTCCGACAGTATACAAAACATGGAAATGCAATTATTTTAGTCAATATAAACTGCTAAATACTTTTCAGTGTCCAACTGAGCACTGGTTAAAGCTTGTAGGAGTTTTCATTCTGCTCTGACTGTCCTATGAGGCTTCATAACCCCGGACCCTCTGTCTGGACAGTGCTGATTGGCCCTGTGCTAATCACATGCACCCTTCCAAAAAAAAAACCCTCTCTAGCAATGCACAGTAAACTGAACATGTGCAGAGTGACCAGTAGAGCTCTGTATTATCAGCAGATGGACTGAGGACAGTAGAAGAAGGGGGGGGGGGGATCAGAGAAGAAAAGATCAAGCAACGCATAGGAATAACCCCTTAGGCTCCACAGTGAGTGTAACAAGCCTGCTTTATTGCATTATACAGACTCATTTTACTGTTGTGGGTTTAGTAACTCTTTAAATGGGGCCGCGGCTGCAGGTAGAGGGGACGTCTGGAGGTGGGTAGCAGGTGATTTAAAACATGTTACACCGCACCCTAAATACTGGTGTAACTTGTAGCTTTTAAACATAAGCTGGAAAATGTACCCTTGAAAAGAAAAAGAATCCTATTAATTGTGCTTGTGACCCAAGCAGAGCATTAAAGAAAAACAGATGTCAGAAGAACACTGTGCAGTCAATTACAGACCTTTTAAGAGCACTAGTCCACGGGTCGTTTCTGATTTAAAACACTTTCAACATGCACATTACAGAAATGTATGAAGCCTGAAAAAGGAATTTAAATTTATCCTGAAAGCTTAAGTATATGCATACAAAATCACATGCGATTGTAGTCCAACTAATCAAAGTTAGGTAAACTAATCCACAAGAGAAAAATATCACAATTATGATATCTTTACATTCAGTTCACAAAAGGAAAAAAAAAATAAATAAAAAAATAAAATATTGCCTTTGGAGTAAAAAACCTAGTACAATATTACCTCTGGACTGATTCTTTGGTGCTTATAAAATTTAAAGGATATCACTAAAAACAAATAGAATACTTTCTACATTTTTTGAATACAGCTTGAATATTACTTGCTACTCCAGAACAATTATCTAAGACAGTCTCAATAAGGTAATTAAATAAAAGCAGCAGCACGTTAAAACCAGCTCTAAAAGTTGGATGTTTAAGTTTTACATGAACTTAATCTAGCACTTTGACAGGAAAGAAACTGACCTGGTTTCTGAGTGGTTGAGTCTGTGATGGCCGCTCCCGGTGGACATGACTGTCTCTGGTTATCGCAGAAGTTCCAGAATCAACATGGACGGATCCCACAGGGGTAGGCTGAAGAAAAAAAAAAGGCTTCTACTAAGATCACATGAAAACAATCTTTGCATGGGCAGACACATTTGCAAAGAAATAAGAAGCTAATCAACAAATACTACCGTTATGTCGTTTAATACATACAGTATGTAACCTAAGAACTAAATCTCAGGATTAGGGATTTTAAAGTAGAACTAAACCCTCCTGCATTTTAACTGCCCTGAAACTGCCATCATAGCCTCTTTTTGATCTGCATTTGCCATGGGGCTTGCAAATGTGATCAGCTATGACACCCGCCATTTGATGGCTCAACAGTTCGTTTGGGAGAGAAAGCAAGTTGTATTCACGGTATGCCTTGAATGTAAGGGCTCGTTCACACCATACGCGCATGAAAACTGATGTGCAGATTTCGCTTGCAGAGAGTTCTCATGCAGGTTTCAATGAGTTTATACACGTTGCAGATTCCTGTGCAGAAACAAATCTGCACATGATACTTGTGTTGTGGTGTGAACAGGGCACATAGAGAACAAATGACTTTATTGTGCCCCGATGGGAAAACCGTGCAGATTTCACACAGAGACATGAGTTTACATCAGTTTCACATCAGTTTTTATTTGCTTTTCAGTAAGGTTTTATGCATGCTAACATCAGTTTTCATATACAGCGGTGATGTCACGTAATTTTTTTTTCTCGTTTCAGATTCCTGCACAGAAAAAAATCTGCATGATACCACTGTTGTGGTGTGAAGTGGGTACAGAGAACAATTGTTTTTTTGGTGCCCTTGCAGAACATATGCAGAGACACACTAGAGTGAATGAGCCCTTAAAGAATAAGTTCACCTTTGGGAACATGTTACATGTTCTACCCATTTTTAGTGTGGAACAGGTAACATGTTCCCGATGCTGCAGATCCCCCCTCCTCCCTGTGATAGCAGTATTGGGAGAAGTTCCCCCATACATGCGGTCACTTTTTTAAATCAGTGCAGACGTGCATGTAATTTATTCACAGAGTTCTGCGAATGAACGAACTGCAAGTCTTGGCAGAATTAGCATCGGGTTGTAGTTCTCAATGAACAGCATCCCACCAGAACACCATGAATACGGCTGGTGGCTATAACAGCCGCTGGCAATCATCACATGTACAATCCAACAGTCTGGTTGTACTGAAGTTGACTTTAGTACATTCAGCCTGCCCATACACAGCTCAGCAGGGACCGGCTGAGATTTGAACTGTCATTGGCCAGCTTTATATCGGAATAAATGGAAATAAAACTTTAACAGTGAAATGAAAAGCTACTCACAATTGGCCTGCCAACCCAATCATAAACATAGTCAAAAGTGTATCCTTTTCGTTCAAAGAGTTCAGAGAACAGCGTTCTGAGATAGTCATAGTCCGGCTTCTCAAAGAAATCCAAACGCCTTACATATCTCAAGTAAGTTGCCATTTCTTCTGGAATGAACAAATGCAAATAAGAGATGTTTCAATACAGTTTCTATAAACACATACAATAGGCATCTCACTCAGCTATATATGCTAAATATGATATCCTTGATAAACTGGTCACATATTATAATCTGATGATAATCTTCTAAAGATCAACATAGAAGTATGTAAATGAAATGAAAGAGGCTGAAGGATTGGATGTAAAGTCAACAGACTGTTTTGGTCGCTATGTCTAAGTGTCTTAAACTCCACCTGAGGAAGCCACGTGACCATGTGGCGCAACGCGTAGGGGAGGGGCTCTGACATCACCACGTACCCGGCTACAGATGGCGAGTATAGTCTGTGTGTGTAAGACACACAGAGGAGGCTCTCTTGCTATCTTACAAAGCGGCTGTATAATACAAAGTGTGTTTTATTGATTCCTATGTGAGTGCATCTGCATATGGGGCACTAAATAAATATACATCTTATAAAAACAATAAGGCACTATGTACGTTTTTCTTTTTTACTGCCTAAACAAAGGTTAATTGGAATAAGGAGCAGAGGGACGGAGAGAAACCCTACAGTGCAGGGATGGAGAGATCCCATCACCTGTACATAAGCAGAGTCTTATCCAGGAAAACACAGAGGATATCCGAGGCTCAACCCATCCTGAAGGATTTGACCACAAAATCCAGCATATCATCTTTAACTTGAATATAAAGTTATGTCTGCCTTTAATTAGGCTGACAAGGAGGTGAGCACATATGAATGTTGATTTTGAAGCACAGATTGGAACACAGCGTGGAATAATTCAATTAAGTTGGGACAATTATATATTTATTAATTTTGTTGGCACTTTGTAGGTTTATACATTTTCAGTGTTCACGGTATTATTGTATATAATCAATTAAGGCACAATGGATTATATTAGATTAAAAAAAATGATATATTATTTATTACAAAGTTTATATATTTTTTAGAATATATTATATATGGCAAAGTGAATTATTACACTAATATATCACTACAAAGGAATTTTATTAATTCAGTTATGGATTAGAATTAGTTAACTAAGTTTTGGGATGCTGAATTTTCTTATCACCAAAATGTTACATAATTTTGGTAAAAAAAAAAAAAAGTGTATATTCATTGGTTTGCACAAAAGGCATAACATCTACAAACTATGGTATATATACTGGAACTTTTTTTTGTTTTTTTTCAAATACTAGTAAGGGCAGCAATCAGCAACTTATAGCGGGACTTCAATATTGCGGCGGACAGTGACACTGACACTTTGTGGGAACCAGTGAAACCAATACAGTGATCAGTGCTAAAAAATATACACTGACTATATTCATGACACTGGCTGGCTGTGATGGGGTTAACCATCCAGGGCGATCAAAGGGTTAACTGTGTTCCTAGCTATTTGTATTGTGTGTACTTTCATGTGTTTTTACTACACAATCTGCTAGATTTTATGGCCCGCTTAGCAGGTAAAGAAAATCTAGCAGATTGCCGCAGACAGAACACACTTCTGCCTTGTTTACAAAGGCAGAGCCGTGTTCTGTCAGTCTCCTCGGAGATCAATGGGTGCTGGCGCTCATCCATTAGCCGGCTTCTACTGTGTTCAATCACAGCAGAAGAGGAGCTCCAGCGGCCCCCCCTACGGCAGAAGCGCAAAATCACATTTATACAGAATGTCCGCTCTGTTGCAGTAAATCTGCTATAGGTCGGATGGCAAGTAGTCAAAAAGTTTAGTTTTAAGAGCATTTGATTTTCTAATTGTTTATGGGGTCAAATTGACCTTTGCTGTCAACGACAGTGACAAAACAATTCAAGAAACAGGATGGAATTTTTTTTCTTGAAAAAATTTGACATTGAATGTAGTTTTCATTCAGCAAAGTCCATTCACTTCAAAATCAAATGTTAAAAGCAAATGAAATTTGTAACTACTTTTGACAATATTAGTCAACCTATCGAATGTACTGAGAATTATCAAACAAATTTTTGTTAAAAAATCTGCTAGCCTATAGCCCACTTTAGTGCTGACTTCTGGGGGGAAAAAAGAAAGAAGAAAATTTAATTTCTGGGGACATTCTGTACACCAATGGTCACTGCAGCTTGGAATAGCCAAGTAATTTTTAATACCTCAATTTCAAAATGGCTTGTGTAGTAATTTTACATTTTTATTTTTAATTTACAAAACTGCAATTTTCCTTTAAGTGAAGTGATATCAGGTTAGCTCAGCAGTTCTGGGCCCAATTCTCTTCGGCAACTGGATTCCACCCAGTAAAAAGACTTTGTGATTAGGATAGGGCAAAACATGGTATAAAAAAGCCACCAGGTACTGGGTAAAAAAACAAAACCATGTCAGTCTTTGCCAGATGCATTTTTTTGTTATAATAACCGAAAACAACAATATGTATTAAAGCTAGCAAACATATGCATTGAGGAATTCCTTATGGGCCACTTGAAAGTACTGGGTTTTTTTTTTTGCAGATTATCCTGTGCGGTTCAACACCCCACATACAAGTCTACAGTATGTATGTGGGTAAGGCATCAAACAGGCTCCAAGAGTGGTCAATAGTGAACAATTAAACAAACTGGTCATGATTTTCACAGACTCAAGAATAGTAATTTCCTAAACAGGACAGTTAAAACACACAAATTAAATGCCAGGATAAAATTTAGAGTTCTTCAGTAAGGAGGATAAGAGCCCTACATCCAGTTTAAATGCAATGTTTTCTATGCTTGACAATTGTGTACCTTCAAAATATACTTTTTTTTAATGCAGTTTGTGTCACGGTTGGTACATATATTCTATGAATTCCTGCTGTACTCTATACATTACACAAGGAATTCCTAAGGAATTGCTATATTTAAATAAAAAAATTCAGAATCTAGAATGCTAGATAGCCAGCCTAAATTCCTTACATGTCCATAAATTTTCTGAAGACTTCAAATGGACTGCAATCTATGCTGCAGCTTGGCCGAGGTTAATGGGATGAATTACATTACATATTCCATAGCCAACAGACCAGGAACTCTGCTGGAACTGGGCTGATTTAACAACTCAGCAAGACTCAGCAATATAAAGTGTGTGGAGCCAAGCTCTTTACATTATAAAAAACCAAACAAAGACAATATTGGTAAACATGCAAGTTACACTATTCAATGTTTTACACTGAAGAATAGTCCTTACCTGGGAAATTCTCACAAAGAACTTCTACAGGAGTGTTGCGTTTTGTATCGCCAATCTTCTGATAGCGTTCCTTAAGGGTATCTGCCTGTATGGTTGACATTACATGGGATAACATGACAGTATTCTATTTATACGGAGCTAAAAGCAACATGAAATCACAATGATATGATTATTAGGCTCAATGATTCTTAGAAGGACAAATGTGTGAACAATGTAACCATGTTAAGTAGATGCACAAGGCTAACTACTAACCCTCTTGTATTGAACTGTATTGTTGCTGTATTGTCTCCCTTTATATTGTAAAGCGCTGAGCAAACTGTTGGCGCTATATAAATCCTGTATAATAATAATAATAATAACTAGACCGGCTAGCTTGAGGCCTTGTAAAGGAACACGTTACTGCATGATTACTTTACCTGTTTACTTCCACCTAGTACAAAACAACCAAACCTAATGTTTTTGCTTACTTGCATGTGATCTTACATTACCTTTCTGCAGTGTGCGCTCTAACCTTGCTTGCTAGCATAAGGTAATAGAACCATCTATGAACAAGTTATCAATATGAATAGACACATGACTAAATCACCATAAACTAGGCAATAAAAGCACGCTGTGCAACAGATATTAGCGCTGTGGTGATGAAGTCCCACAGGTAGAAAGCAACAAGAGGCAGTATTTTGGAAAATCACTGTGGAACCAATTTCTCGGTTTTCTGTGGCCAAAGAGACAACCAAATGATCACAGTACAACTGTCACACGTATCTGACACCCAGGAAGAAGACTGCTGCTTGAGACACGGGACGCGGTTTTCATACACACTGATCTTAATTATTTAAACACTTTTTAATCATAGGCAAGTTACCTAGCTTCAGTTTACTGCTGTCCTTTTTTTAAAGACCATCACGAGCAATAATCCACAGAAATGTAAATACAGGTCTGGCCATTTGCTTGTGGATGATCTGATGCCTTCAAACTGTACTAAGACTACTATGCAAGAGGAATCAAATGTTCCAAGGACATGTGAGTGGCATGGACAACTGAACGCTGGCAGCCTGTCAACACAACTTGCTTACAAGAAACCTTGCTATTCCTAGACATAAGCCAAATCCACATTAACAGAAAGGAAAATATTAATTTACATATTTCTTGACTTTTACTAGTCTATTTCATTTGTTTAGCTCATTTTAAGAAAAATATGGGGGCTGCCATTACTGAATTCCTTATGAAAATGCAACTTCTAGGTGAATGAAAATTAACAATAATGGGATACTTAAACAGTTAGCAATACACAATAAGATGTTTGTAATGGCAACCTGTTTTTTTTTTTTCTTTTAAAGTATTTTAAATCAAGGTTCACCAACACAAAAAACAAAAAGTAGTGCACAGAAGTGTGTTAATAAATGAAAACTGAAAAAAAGATGAGCCAATTAATATTTTAAAGCAGCTGTAAAATAATTAATTTTTTATGTTAATTAAAATACTAAACATGTTATATTTATCTGCTCTGTATAGCACAAAGGGCCCGGAACCATTTATTCTGGGATCCCCAAACGGTGAACTTAGCTTCTTCTGAGTGTGCACCCCTCCCCATAGCAAGCCGCTTGCTATGAGGGCAGACCTGCCGGCTCACTCCCAAGCAGGGCTGTGTGTATCCATAGACACACGCAGCATGGCTCGGCCCCCTCCCCTCATCACAGGATTTGACTGAAAGCAGCAAAAGCCTGTGAGGATATGAACAAAGACAAGCCCCAGTGCAGACGGGCACAGTGTTCGATCGAGATAGGACTCAGGTAAGTGATTAGGGAGGTGTGTGGGTAATACAACTACTGGAACATTTATTACCTTAAAGTGTTAAACTTTTTTTTTTTTTTTTTTTAAATTAAAACAAACCTGGCATACTCCCCAGCTCTGTGTAATGGTATTGCACAAAGCGGCCCCCGATCCTCCTCTTCTCGGATCCCCAGCTGGTGATCTTGGCTCCTCCTTTTCTTCGTGTGTCCCCATAGCAAACAGCTGCTATGGGGGCATACTGTGTCTGCTTGCTCCCGAGCTGTGTTCCTATGAAGGAGCACTCCGTAGACACACACACCCCAGAACTTAGCCCCACCCCCCACTTCCTCTTCACTGAATATGACTGACAGCACAAAGAGCCAATGGCTCCTGTGTAAAGAGAGGGGAGAAGAGGTAAGAGATGCAGTGGTGCACAGCATTCTCCCCTCTCTTCGCCTTCACACAGGGAAAGGGATGGGGGGGGGGATGGGGGGGGGGGCAAATATACAAAAACCTTTTTTTTTTTTACTGTAATGCAAGGACCACATTAAATTAAAAATAGTTTTTTAGATTTAGTATCAGTTTAAAAAAAAAAAAAAAAAAAAAAAAAAAAGCCTTTAGAATCACTTTAATGCATTCCCTGCAATAAAGAAAAATAACAAAACATGTCTATACTTGCAGTGGTTTTGCACAGAGCAGCCCGCATCCTCCTTTTCTCGGGTCCCCAACTCGCGCTTCTGTCCCCTCCCTCCTGTCAGTGCCCCCATAGCGAGCAGCTTGCTATCGGGGCATCCGCTGCTCCGTGTGTCCATTTACACATAGATCCGCAGCTGCCCCCCCCTTCTCATTGGCTCACTGACTGTGATTGACAGCTGTGGAAGCCAACGGCTCCCGCTTCTCTCTCAGCCAATGAGGAGGAATTCCCAGGATAGCCGGGACTCCAGTGTACAACACTGGATCGAGAGGCTTGGGTGAGTATTGGGGGGGATGCTGCACAGAGAAGGTTTTCTACCTTCATGCATAGAATGCATGATGGTAAAAAACCTTGAGCCTTTACAACCACTTTAGTAAAAGTGGTTCTAAAGCCTTTAAGGGTTTCAGAAGCCGGGAGGCGGGGCAGGGTTTTAAGGTCATGTGACCGTCGTGATTCGCCGTCACTTGATCGGGAAAGGTCCAGATCAAAAGAAGAGATCTCGGGACCATTCTGTGAGTACCGGATACGTGTGCTGGGAGCATTCAGGGCGCGCACTCTCAGCACGTGTTTTTTTTAATTGTACACAAATGTGCGGCCACTCGGCAACTAGGCCCAGACGCCGGACATTTGTGTGCGGCCGATGTGAAGAGGTTAAACAGAATTCATGCTACATGCTCCCAGGGCAAATCGTAAAATTACTTAGTGAAAGATTGAAACTCTTGTTTTTCCTCAAATAAGGACTGTTGGAACTACCACTGTAGATTTAAAGCATTTTCAAACTGGAGGGTAAAAAAACAAAAGCTTACCTTAAGGCCTTGCCACGGAAGGCTTTCCTCGCAAAAAATACATGAACATGTGTCCCAAGGCTTCTAAGTCATCTCTCCGACTTTGCTCTGAAAAAGAAGAAGAAAAAAAAAAAAAAGTGAAAAAAAAGGGAGTCAAGACCTTTATTTATAAAAACTTATATGATTTAGCACATTGTTTTTGCATATAGTAATTAAAAAATGTAACCATCTCCTGTTCTGAGTGCTGGTGTGGTGGAATGCTTAAGTTAGCAGAAACAGGACCCCAAGCACACAATGCTGGTCTCCATCACATGAATTATTCATAAGCCAAGGAACAAGTTCCAAGTCTGCACTTTGAATTCTTGTATGCAGCTCTTTATATAATATTATACATGTCACTGTAATTGAAATGTATCTAGCTAGCAAATACTACAACTATTTTATGGTCACAAACATGCCAATTAAACTGAAATTATTTTTTTTTTATTTTGAGCAGAGCAGGAGCAGGGAAAGGTTAAGGGCATCTGTGTGTTTGTTCCAGGCTGTCTTTACTTACTTTTACAGTAAGAAAAGAAAAGAGAAAATCTAAAAATTTACAATGGATACTTGAACACTTGGGAGATTATTTCCTTTTTACTCCTGTTCAAGTGCCCAGCATCAAATATACAGTCAGGTCCATAAATATTGAGACATTGACACAATTCTAACATTTTTGGCTCTATACACCACCACACATGAATAGATTTGAAATGAAACGAACAAGATGTGCTTTAACTGCAGACTGTCAGCTTTAATTTGAGGGTATTTACATCCAAATCAGGTGAACGGTGTAAGAATTACAACAGTTTGCATATGTGCCTCCCACTTGTTAAGGGACCAAAAGTAATGGGACAATTGGCTTCTCAGCTGTTCCATGGCCAGGTGTGTGTTATTCCCTCATTATCCCAATTACAATGAGCAGATAAAAGGTCCAGAGTTCATTTCAAGTGTGCTATTTGCATTTGGAATCTGTTGCTGTCAACTCTCAAGATGAGATCCAAAGATCTGTCACCATCAGTGAAGCAAGCCATCATTAGGCTGAAAAAACAAAACAAACCCATCAGAGAGATAGCAAAAACATTAGGCGTGGCCAAAACAACTGTTTGGAACATTCTTAAAAAGATGGAACGCACCGGTGAGCTCAGCAACACCAAAAGACCTGGAAGACCACGGAAGACAACTGTGGTGGATGACCAAAGAATTCTTTCTCTGGTGAAGAAACCACCCTTCACAACAGTTGCCCAGATCAAGAACACTCTCCAGGAGGTAGGTGTATGTGTGTCAAAGTCAACAATCAAGAGAAGACTTCACCAGAGTGAATACAGAGGGTTCACCACAAGATGTAAACCATTGGTGAGCCTCAAAAACAGGAAGGCCAGATTAGAGTTTGCCAAAACAACATCTAAAAAAGACTTCACAATTCTGGAACAACATCCTATGGACAGATGAGACCAAGATCAACTTGTACCAGAGTGATGGGAAGAGAAGAGTATGGAGAAGGAAAGGAACTGCTCATGATCCTAAGCATACCACCTCATCAGTGAAGCATGGTGGTGGTAGTGTCATTGCGTGGGCATGTATGGCTGCCAATGGAACTGGTTCTCTTGTATTTATGGATGATGTGACTGCTGACAAAAGCAGCAGGATGAATTCTGAAGTGTTTCGGGCAATATTATCTGCTCATATTCAGCCAAATGCTTCAGAACTCATTGGACGCCGCTTCACAGTGCAGATGGACAATGACCCAAAGCATACTGCAAAAGCAACCAAAGAGTTTTTTTAAGGGAAAGAAGTGGAATGTTATACAATGGCCAAGTCAATCACCTGACCATCAACAGTGTCCTGATGATCAGTGCAGGTGTCCTCCATGACATTTGCCGGTTATCGGCAGTACTGTGACAGCGTGAAGAAAGTGCTGTCGATAAACGGCAACTGTATTTACTTTGTGACCTGAAGGCTGCTGTGATTGGTCTTTTACCTTGTCATGTGATCAGCTGTGTCTGTAGGATGTCATATGACGCCCTTTCAGAACTGGACAGCCACGCTGTAGCCGTCATTCAGCTATAGCGCAGTTGTAAAGTGGTTAAAGGGGGCCCCCATGTTGAAGGCATGTGGCCTGGCATCGCACTCGCTCGCCTGCCAAGCTGCATGCTCGGATAAGGGTCTCGAATGGATTTTGGGGGAGACCCCACGTCAAGTTGTTTTTTTTTTTTTTTAAATATTGATGTGGGGATTACCCTCAAAATCCATACTAGGCACGAAGGGCTTGGTATGGATAATAGTGGTCAGATCATATTTTATGGCAAAATACGGCAGAACATTTAATTCCAATGGGGTTCACATACTTTTTTTCTTGCCACTGTAATTATAGTAAAAATAACCCATTCGATGGCATGAAGCGCTCATTTTTTTTGCTAAATTTTTAATTGTCATCAATTCTTCTTTTTCTTTTTTTTTAATTCAGCAGTCAGTGGGGAACCCCGCTGACAGCTGAAGACTCAGCCACCCACTCCTTAATGACCCATGACAGTTACTGACAAATACTAGTACATACTGCATGCTTGGACCACTACTTAATCACCGCATGCAGTTAATTATTTATTTCCTTTCGACTTTAAGGTCTTTTGATGCAGCATTTACCGAGCGTTTTTGGCAAATACTGCACATAGCAATAGTGAATTGACATTTTCAGTATGGCATGCGATATGTGGTCACGTGACTGACAACGCAATGCGATAACCTTTAGTGAATTGTGCCCAATGTGCTTAAGCTGATAACTCACAAAACAAGTTTAATTTCTCGTGTCATTACTAAACATACCCATTAAACAGTCACAGTGCTGGAGGAAAATGACTTCAAGCAAGCACTTTCAGTAGCTCTGGATCAGACGTGCACAATGTTCAGGAGAAATTTTATAGACCATTCATCTTTCCAAAAAAACGGTTTCAGTTCAGACATATTTGTAGGAGGTCTGGTGTGAATGGCTCTCAAGCTCATTCCCACAGCGTCTCTATGGCAAGATCTGGGCTCTGAAGTGTAGTGGTTCCTCCTGCGCTAAATGAATAAACTTCACCCTAATAAAGCTGCTAGCACCCAACCCTTTACCTCAAAAGAATAAATAACAAATAATGTACCAAATGGTGCAGCGTTAAAATATAGAACACTAAAATAAAAAATATTAAATAATTAAACAGTAAAAGTGCAACTAGAAAAGATCCTATTGGGATCTGAACTAAGGTGCAAAAAATAGTGCAAAGTAGTGATGAATCCAATAGTCACAAACACAGACCCTGTTAATAAGTGAAAAACGATATACAATACAATCTCAGAATTGGGATAACGTACACACCAATCGTGCCAACATGGTGAATCCCAATGATGGGATAATAATAAACCAAAAAACAAAGTGACCAGTGCTTAATCACAATACACACAGTGACAATAAACAATCTAAAAAGTATAAAAAAATGCAAAAACAATATATATGTGTGGTGAGAATCAATAAAAAAAATTCAACAAAGCAGCAAATGTCCAATCAAGTCCAATAAAGTGCCACATAAACAGTGCTTCACTATTCATAAAAAACTGGTGCCGTGGGGTGTACACTCCAAACAAAAACGAAAATGGCAAGAATGCCCCCTCACCTCCATACGGTGACCCTATGGACCAATACGCTTTTTGGATCACCCCAGGATCCTACGATCAGGATCTCCTTATTAGCCAACCTCCACACACAGGGTTCCGCATATATCATATGAGTATTCCCCTTCCTGGATAGGTAAGCAGGTGGCCTTACTATCTCCAACTTACTCAGTAAGACCCTACGCAACTTTCAATAAGATCATGCGTGGCTTAAAGAAGCAATCCATTAAAATACTCAGGGACCAGCAACAGACCTCAGATCTGACTGTTCAAAGACTTACATAAGGTAAAATCATGAACAGAAATATTTGCCATTTCCAGTGATGTCTTCAATCCTTTAGCGGCTACTCATCACTTATTCTGACTGAGGATTCTGCATTGTGCCTTGAGAGTCATCTTGGCTGGGGGCCCACTTCTAGGAATAGTAGCCATAATACTAAACTGTCTCTTTTTGTCTAACTGTAGACTGATGGAAGTATAAACAAACATGGAGATTGCTTTGTATCCCTTTCCAGCCTTATGAAGAACAACTACCCTGTCTTCAGAGGGCTCCTTTTAGTGGGAGACATGGTTCACATCAGCTGATAATTCTTATGAACAGCAATCGTAGAATATATGGGTGTCTGATCAAAGTAGCTCTAAACCACACATCCAAATTAATGTTATTAACTGAACTCCAGGTGTGCAAACTACTGCCTCCAATTAGCTTTCCTGAATAGGTTCACTTACTTTTCCCCCCAGCATTGTGCATGTCTAATGGGGTGTTCAAAGATACGAAAAAAACAAAATTGTTTGTGTGTTATCAGCATAAGCACATTGTGTTGGTCTATTTTTGTGACTAAAATGAGTATCAGATCTTATTTTATGGCAAATGAAGGTAAAAAAAAAAAAAAGAAGGTAGGTTAAAGTGTTACTAAACCCATGACCCTGCAATTACTATACAGTTTTACACAATACATTGAAATTCAATGATTTTTGCAAATATAAACTGCTAAATACCCCTTTTTATCATCAATAGCATATAGCAATCTTGTGACTTCTATCAGTGCCGAGCACTGGTTAAAGCTTGTAAGAGGGGTTTTCAATCTACTCTGACTGTCCTATGAGGCTACATAACCCCTGACCCTCTGTCTGGACAGTGTCAATTAGCCCTGTGCTGATCACATGTACCCTCCCAAAGAAAAAAAAAACCCCACTTTAGCCATGCACATTAATCTGAGCATGTGCAGAGTGACTCCAAGTGCTCTGTACAATCAGCAGATGGATTGGGGACAGCAGACAGGGAGGAGCAGTCAAGTCAGGATCAAACAGCCTTTTTACACAATGTGATTAACATCTTAGGCTCCACAGTGAGTATAACAAGCATGCCTTACTGCATATACAGACTGATTTTACGGTTGTGGGTTTAGTAATACTTTAACTCCAAT